ACAAATATAAGATAGATAGGATATCTTCTTTAATATTGTAACTGTAATTCTTGCTCAATAATTGTTTTGTTATATGTAATTTTACTATGTTAAAGTTAAAACCTTCCTTTTTGAAAAAGAAAAGAGGAAGTGCTGTGGATATCGCTCTGTATAAATAAACACTGATTGGCCAGTAGTCAGACAGGAAGTATAGGTGGGACTAACAGAGAGGAGAATTGAGGGAACAGGAAGGCAGAGGGGGATACTGCCTGCAGCCACCACCAGGACAAGGAAGATGTAAGGTACCAGTAAGCCACGAGCTACGTGGCAAAGTATAGACTAATAGAAATGGGCTAAATATAAGAGTAAGAGCTAGACAATGATAGGCCTGAGCTAATGGCTGAGCAGTTTAAATAATATAAGAGTCTATGTGTTTATTTTACAAGTGGGTTGTCGGACTGCGGAGAGAAAATCCAGCTACAGGGTCTTGCTGTCACTCTTGGTCCCTCTGCATTAGCTTCCTAAATTCTAGGATCCCAGGGATGTGTCATCACGTTTGACCCCAGCTTTCAGGTTTTGTTGTTGTTTTGTTTTGTTTGATTGATTGTTTTTGGCACATACCTAGAAGCTGAATTGCTACACCACATGGTCTTTTTAAAGACATTTTTTTTAATGTACATATGTGCCTGGTGTCCCCAAAGAGGGCATCAGATCCCCTGGAACTGGAATTATGGATGATTGTCAGCCACCATGTGGGTGCTGAGAACTGAACCCCGGTCCTCTTTAAGAACACCCAGTGCTCTCACCTGCTGAGCAAGCTCTCCAGCCCCACCCCACCCCACCCCCAGTGTGGTATTTTTTAAAAACAGCCTTGATGCTCCCATATTCCCATGATTGGACCATTTCACTTTCCCGCCACCAAGGCATGAGTAATCTAGTTGATCCACATCTCACAGCACTCTCCTCCCTTTTAAAAATGAACTTTTGTTTGTTGAGAAGGGTCTTGCTGTGTAGCTTATGAAGAGCAAACTATAAAAGAGAATATTATATAGGTGGAGGTGGCTGTGAGCTGAGATTGTTTTCTTTTTTATTTAGGTGAGAGCGTCCTGTTTCAAATCAATATGAAAATGTCCAAATATAAAGAAAAATTAAAATAAGTATGCTGAAGATAACCACGTACTATCATTTATTTATACCACAGGTGCCAAGAATACTCCTATCAGACTGGAGAGATGGCTCAGCTGTTGAAGAATGCTGGGTTCTCTTGCAAATTCCCAGCACCCACGTGGTGATTCACAACCATCTGCAACTCTAGCCCCTGAGGTCTGGCCTCCAAGCATCCTGCACATACACAGTGCACAGACCTATACACACAAAATGATAAAATAATGAAAACATTTTAAGAGAATACTAATATCTGAGGAAATGTGTGGTCTTAGTTATATTGAAAGTAGTTTACTTTTGTTTCTGTTTTGTTCAATAGTTTATGGAGCAAGGTTAAATTTTGTCAAATGTATCAGTTCTCTATAAGTTTTTTTAAAATTATTAACTCATTTACTGTATATATGTACAGGCATTCACATAGAGAGCAGAGAACAACATGTGGGAGTTGATTCTCTCTCCACCTTGTGAGTCTTGGGGATCTAATTTGAGTCATCAGGTCAGTGACAAGCATGTCTGCCTGATGAGCACCCTGCCAGTGCCCTGTTTTGGAAATGTGATGTATCATGTTGGCCATTTTCCTATGTTGAAATGTCCTAGAATCCAAGAATGAATCCCCCTGGCTTGTAGGGTTATATTCCTTTCAATATGCTGCTGAGTTCCACTTAACTGTTGAGAATGTTCATATTGGTTTTCTCAAGAGGCATGGTCTTTAGCTTTCTTATACTGTCTTGTCTCGCTTTGGTAGTCAGGACAGAAAGGACAGCCAATACTTTGGGCCTTGATCTCCAAGGTCCGCCAGAACCCAGGGAACAATGGTATCTCCACAAACAACCTTACTACCCCGATAAGATACCTAGTGTCCAGCCAGAGGGGACACTGAGCTGCCCAGTGCAACTCTAAGCAGGGGACAACCTGCAGGGAGGGCAGTCTTTGCAGAGGGACCTGGTTCCTATGCTTCCAAAGGAAGCCACATGCTCGGCAAGACCCTGACCTGACCCTGAAGATGGCACAACTGGTAGGAGGGGCACTAAAGGGGAGGGGCACTAAAGGGGAGGGGCACTAAAGGGGAGGGGCACTAAAGGGGAGGGGCACTAAAGGGGAGGGGCACTAAAGGGGAGGGCACTAAAGGGGAGGGCACTAAAGGGGAGG